TTAAATTTTAATTGTGGGGAGAAAACTAGAATTGCGGGGAGAAAGCTTTAATTGGGGGGAGAAGATTTTAATTGGGAGGAGAAGATTTTAATTGGGGGAGAAGATTTTAATTGGGGGGAGAAAAGTTTGACTGCAGGGAGAAAACCTTAATTATGGGGATAAAACTTTAATTGGGGGGAGAAAAAATCTTAATTGCAGGGAGAAGATTTTGATTGGGGGGATAAAACTTTAATTGGGGGTAGAAAATTTTAGTTGCAGAGAGAAGATTTTAATTGGGGGAGAAAACTTTAATTGAGGGGAGAAAAGTCTTGATTGCAGGGAGAAAATTTTAGTTGGGGGGAGAAAACTTTGATTATGGGGAAAATAACTGTGGAGAGGAAACTTTAATTATGGGGAGAAAACTTTAATCGGGGGGAGAAAATTTTAATTGAGGGGAGAAAACCGATGTCCTCTTAAAAACCACTGCTCCTCTTAAAAACCAACACGGGTTTGGTTGAAGACAGCAGCTTCAAAAAAAAAAACACAAACCACCCTCCATCTACTTTCTCATCTTGCTACTTTCCAGCAGGGGAAATACTCGTCCCCCTGGAATTTATGACATTTACTTTCTTTCCCCGACGTCATTCTTTGTGCTGCCCGTTGGGATTTCTAACCGGTAGCCAGAGGATTTATAGCCCCCACGGTGCAAACTTAACGTTACAGGGGTAGAAACGACGTTTTCTGCAATGAGTTCCCACCTCCGCCTGCGCTCGGATGTACCTCGCTGACGACCCCGACCTGAAAATCCTCGGGGGAGGCTGAGGACCGACAGCCTTCGTGACACCTCTGATAGGTGAAACTTTCCTTGGCAGGCGAGGCGGGAGCACCTGCGGAGGTGGAAGCCCCAAAATGAAGGCAACGAGGGATTATTCCGGATTTTTGGGCGTGGAAAGGCGCAAGCGGGCAGGTAACTGTAGAGCAACGAACTGAATAATCGCTGGGGTTTTCTTTTTTTTAAAAAAACTTCTATAATTTGAGAACAAAAACCAGCTGAGGTAAGGGAAGAGGGGCGTAGGGAAAAAAAAAAGAGCTTTTTCTAGCACTTCCCTTGGAAAATTCTTGTTGATCAGCAGGTGGAATTTTTGCTCTGAACCGTCTCATTTCAGACGCTTCGGGTTATTCTCATATATGATTAATCCTCCCTGAGGCACTTGAGTCACTGTTTCTTTTGGGTCTTCTCATCCCCCTCCCCCCCAAAGATTCCAAATTTCTGCTTTATTCTGAAGGAGAATAAAGAAATTTTTGAACAGCTGAAGTGTTAAAAGACCCCACCCCCCCAAAATAAGTCTGGGATTTAAGTCCAGTTTAGACACATCAACAAAATATTTATTAATCGCTGCCTTCCCTTCAACACTGCCCTATTTTAGTTCTCCCGACTCTTCCTCCCATCTCCATCATCCTCTCGGTGCACAATAAGGTAGAAAAGGGGCTTTTTGGGTCTTTTCCATCATCCCTCTCTACCCAGCCAGGGACTAAGATTTTGAGGAATGTTTTTTTTTTATTCATTGATTTGTTGATTTTGTTTTTTAATTTGTCGGGGGGTTTTTTATTTGTTGATTTTTTTTTTTACATGGCTTTTTAAAATTATTTGGCATATTTGGTTTCTGACTTACCTTCTATATAGTAATTTTGCATGGGGCGGGGGGGAGGAAGAGGGGAAAGGAGGGTTTGTCCCATGAGATTTGGTTCATGTGATAGATGGGGACGAAGAGGGGGAGAAGAGCTTAAGAGAAAAATCGGGGAAGTCCCATGGGGTGAAAGCACTGAGATTTTTAGGTAAAACCCTTAGGACGCAGAATTTTCTTTGCTCGTGGGCATCTTTGCTCATCATTTGGGCATCAGATGATGCCTGTCCTTTAGGAAGGCTCATCCCAAAGATGCTTTCGATGAGCATCGCCCAAGTGCTCCGCTGTGGGGCGCGGTGCTCTCCGCGGTGGCCCGATACGGGGAGGTTGCGTTAAAAGTCCCCTTCACCCTCGAGCAAAAGGAGGAAGAACCACCTTTTGGGCCAACAGCCTGGACCTGGAGCGTGTTGCTCCCCTCGGTACCCCCGCAAAGGCGTTGAAGGTCTCTTCTCCTGCAGGTTACAGCCTTGAGACGAAGCCGGAGGCGCGTGTCGCCTGTCAGGTGACGATGGCAGTGCTGTTCATAGCTCTGCTCGTCACCGCCGTCACTTTTGCAGGTGAGCATCGAGGTTTTCATCTCATGGGGAACGTCTCTGAGATACTTTGGGTTGTTACACATGGGCCAGATCCACCTCCATGCTCCCAGGGAAGATGCAGCCCAACCCCAGGAGGCTGTCCTCTCCAGGAGAGGGACATTTCAACGAGCAGAGAAGCCTTTCTACAGAAGACCAAACTCATCTCCTCCGCGTAGGAGCCGATATCATCCAGAAACCCCTAAAACCCAACAGAAAGAGCCGTTTGACGGGTACAGTCACCTGAGCTTTCCCAAAGGTGGTTTTTTTTCAAAGAAGGGGCCGTTCCTCTGCTGCTCGTCCAAGCAGCAAGAGATGTCGGCATGAGTCCCACCAAGCCAAGAAGTCTGCAGGAACAAAAGAACTTTTTTCCTGCCCTTTGCCCATCACTGCTTTTGCATTAATGACAGACAGCAATACCTAAGGGCGCGTTTAGGGACAGGGCTATTCTGGAAATCCTCTTAAAACTTGCATCTTTGAAGGCCACCACCCTATTTTCTTCTTTGAAGGTACAGCACCCGCATTCCTTGTCCAACGCCACAAGCTGGGCCACGATTTGAGCTTGTTTTCTCCCTCCAATCCACCCAAGACTTCTCTTGGTGTCTTAATTTTTCTTTCCTCTCACCACTGAGGCAGATGCAAGACTTTTGGAAGCTATGGGGCGGAGGATGACCATCCCCACCCTGGAGAGTCAAGGGGAAGGTGCCGCTCCTTAACGCTGTTGCTCTATCGATGACAGTGCAGGCTTTTCAGCCTCGTCCCCAACCCTGTTTTCGGTGTCCATTTGACTGGATCGGGTACAGAGGAAAATGCTACCATTTTTCGGAGGCTGAGGGGAACTGGACATCCAGCCAGGACAACTGCTCGGCACTCGGTGCTTCCTTGGCCGTGCTCGACAGCGTGGAGGACTTGGTAAGGAGACATGAGGACATGCTTAGCACGGGGCAGGGGGGGGGAAGCCACCAACGTATTTGCCACCTTTTGGTTTCTTTGACTGCTCTTCCAGGATCTTCCTTGGAGATCTGGGGTGAGGAGATGGGGAAAATGGTTTTCTTGAGGGCAGGTCATCGTGGGTCTCCTCAAATGTCTCACCAAAGCCAACCGATGCAAGACCTATAGCAAAAAAAGCCCCGTTTCTACGCAATATTGAAGCTCTGCCTTAAAGGTTACACTTTTTGGTAGTAGATTGAAAGGTTCAAGCACCAAAGGAGCCCTGAAGGAGCACGAGCAACTGCTGAAATGTAGATTATTGGTTGGAAGGAGGTTTCTGCAGATGGTGACCTGCCAGAGATGTCCCAAAGGCCCGTGACCTGTCCTAAAGCCTTTCTCTCTCCTCTTTTTCAGAGCTTCGTGATGAGATATAAAGGCATCTCAGAGCATTGGGTCGGCCTTTCACGGGAAGATGAGGAGCAACCGTGGAAATGGGTGAACCACTCACGCTTATCTCACCCGTGAGTCTGTGTTTTTCATCGTTATGTCATTGGTTGGTGTTTCCTCAGCCCCGAAATGTGCATTTCTTCCGGCATTTGAGGTGGATCCGGAGGTAGCGTTGGGACAATGGCGTTTGGGAAAGGCAACGTTGCATCCAGAGCTGGTCTTCGTTTTTCCCTTTGAATTGAGAGGTGGGAGCGGTGCGTTTGCTGGGGAAAACACTGTTAGTTAGATATTTATTTTTAAATAAGGGTGTTTTTTTCTTGCAAAGCATCAGGTTTCTTGCAGCCAACCCGGACTGCTGCCAAAACAGAAATAATTCAGCATCAGTATTGGCGCAGCGGGGGGGCGGGCGCGGAAAGCCAGCGCGTGATCTTCCTCCTTTCCCCTGCTGACCCCATCTAAGGTGGGTTCCCTCATCTGTCCTTCCAGGTTTTGGATCCGCGGCGACGGTCTCTGCGCCTACCTGAATGACAACGGGCTCAGCTCCTCCCGCTGCAGCACCGAGAGGAGCTGGGTTTGCAACAAGCCCGAGCTGCAGAGCCCAAGCAAGGGCAACGGGACGAGACGGGCTCAAAACCTTTGCATCAGATCCTAAGGGGCTGCAGGGAGCGCTCCTCAAACCCAAATACCCGGTGCACGATCGAGAAACAAAAGAAAACCTCAAAAAAAAAACCCACAGAAAAAGCAAACTCAGGGGAAAAAGCCTGCTGCCAAAAATTGCCAGGTAAGAACCAAAGTTATTGCGCGTTTGCACTTGCCAACCCAAAACTTTGCCATACGACCAGTGAAAAATATCTGGTGATTACTCACAGCACCCCTGCAATTCACACCTGGTAATGACTTATTCGTAACCCCACTTGCAATTAAATGTCAGGGGAAGAGGAAAGTCACAGCCGTACCGATGACCCCGGGGAGGACATCTGGAGGGTGAAGCTTAGCAGGCCTTGCACGGCGCGACCAGAAAAATGGGCAAATGCCGTAGGATTTTAGCTTTTCCCACTTTTTGTGGCGTTAAAGGAGCAACCTTCAGGCTTGGTGAGCTGAGAAGAACTCCCCGACACCTTACAAGTACGTAGAAATGCTGCAAGGATGGACAACGCTTGCAAGGCCTCCAAGGATTTGCTGCTCTCGTCTTCGGGAAAGCCCAAGCTGCAAAGCAACCAAGTCAACCCGTGACCGTACGTGGCTCTGTATCAAGAGCAAGGTGAAGGTGAAGAGACTTCCACGCATCAAAAATCAGATTATTCTCTCCAGGGACACAGCTCTGGGGGTAGGACGGCGGCAGGATTGGGGAGGATCTGCCAAGTCAAGGTTGGAGCGACCAGCTCCAACTGGTTGGAAAGAGAAGGCGACGTCTTCGCCTTAACGTGCCGGTGAGGTTAGGGATAAAAGCCAGCAAGGTTTTTAAAGAAGGGGAGGAGTAAAAGAAAAGATTTTGCACGTTTTCATGGAACGCTGTGTCCAGGGAAGACTTTCGAGCATCTCGTCTTGACGAAAGCTGACCCGTCTGCATGGACAACCGCGTCCAGGGAAGACTTTTTTTGACGAGCATCTCAACTTGGGGACTGTCGGTGAAGGTGTAAATGTGAGGATAGTAGGATTTTAGCAGCACTTTATTTTTCGGAGGTATTTAGCAGTAATAGCTAAAGGATCCAGCTTTTTCCCAGGACTGATGAAATCCGTTGTTTTCTCCTCTTTTAGCAATTTGGTGATCGTTGTCTTCTCAGATGCTCTCCCAGCAATGTTTCACCAAAGTGAGGGGTTTTTTTTGGGGGGGGACAGGACTATGGATGTCCTTGGCTTGTGGCGTTGGCAGCTCCATCTCCTGGGATCAACAGGTTCGTCCCAGCATAGCCCAGACCCCAGGGAAACCTTTCCTGCTCCCCCTCCGCGTCCGTCCTCGCCCTACGGAAGGACCATCTTCAGATCAGCTGCTATTTTCGCATCGTGTAACACTCGATGGCGACTAAATTTAGTATTTCTGAGGGCTTTTAATGCACCCTTGAGCTGCTTGCAAGATTTTTGCGAGACGAGGTGGCCTGAGGGTAGTATCAGAGAAACAACGAGCAAACTATTTAGCAATAACTTCATAATTACTGCTGGGAAATTGAGACAGATTTAACCTGGAGTAGGGCATTATCTATCACATTATTATTATTATTATTATTATTATTATTATTATTGTATGTGTGGGTGAAACAGCAATGCTGAGAGTTACGGCCCACTTTCCTCCCCCGGTAAATCCACGCTTCAAATATTGCAGCTCAAAATCCACTTTCCCTCGGTCCCAACGGGTTCTTGTAGTCGCGATGAGGAGAATTGCAGCAAGGGACCTCACCCCGCCGGGTTTAGACGAGCGCGCGCACGCGCTCGTGCTTAAACTCAGGCACTTTTTTTTTTGGTGCTTTTTCAGACCCGTTCTGCCTGCAAAAGTGTTGCAAAATGGGCCGTTAATTTAGTAGATCGCGCTTTTAGCGTAGGTGACCACGCTTGCTTGCATTTCCGTGGAGCTGCACAGGCACTGTCCCACCCTTTCTTTAGTTAAGGTGAAACACTAAAAAGTAAGAAAAGGCCTAGAATTATACCTAGTATATAGAGCTATGCGCCCTAATAATAGGAAAAGACCTAGAATTAAATCTCTGCTGTTAATGAGGAAATACTGAGCGTTTATTGGCCTCTCTGAGGAAAAGAGCAAAGAAAAAAAAACCCCAAACCTGCTTTTTTGGGGTCTTCCCGCGTGCCTTGAACCCGCGGGATTCACCCCTGCGGGATCGATCAGATGGAGGTGGAATAGCTGCAACAAAACCCCCAAGTGAGGGGTTTGCCCAGAAATTCCCAAAAAACGGTGGGTGAATAGGCAAAACTTTGCCTTTTTTTTTTTTTTTAATAACGCGTTTTGAGATTTCTCTTCGTTTCTGCCTCATTGCACCAGGCGCTGCTGAATTCACGCGCGTGAGTTTTAAGGGTGGGTTTTGTTTTTTTTTTTAGTGGCTGGCCCTTTTTGCCACTTTTGGGACGTTTTCTGCGCGAGACGTTATTCCCGTTTGTTACAGACTGAGTAATCAGTCGTGACGACAACATGCAATAAAAACGTATCGTTGGTTAACGAACCTATTCTGCCGCTGCCCTTCATCACCTGCTTGCATTGAAGCACAGCGGAAACCGCTTCAATAGGTGCCGTTTCCTGTTATTTTAGGTTTTTTTCTCAGCCTTTGCACATCAAGGGGAGGGGGAAAAAAAAAACACAACAAACACCTGCTTTTCATGGGTGAAGTGTGCGGGGTTCGCAGACAAAACCCTTCTC